ATGGATTAAATGTGGACTCAGATCCTCATATTTGATAAACATGTTGATCATTACATGTACATTTAGACCCATTTTGGAATGACACATTTATTTTGGAATGACACGTTTAGTCTGTTAGAGATACATGTATTATTCATTTTGAGCAACCTAGCTAATGAACGATGGCAGATTGACCCAAAAGATTAAAGACCTTGAGAACTGATAGCAGCTGAAGGCATATATCTTGAAATCCAAGGTGACGTAGGCAAATGTTCACTCAGTTTTTTATCATTTGTATTTGTGTATGGCTTGATAGGAGGTGAATTTTTTTGTGTGTGCTTGTGCATAAGCTTCATAATACATGTAACTGCATGGTGAAGTTGTTTTTTTTTTTTAATGTGTGTGTGTATGTGTGTGTGTGTGTGTGTGTGTGTGTGTGTGTTTGAAGTTGCACAAATTTTGCATTTCATCAGTATGATACAGTTCACCATTGCTGGTTCTATTAATTTCAATTGAATCAGTCAGTATTTTATAAAACTTTGTCCCATCTGAAACTTTTTCATTGTTATCTTGGTAATACTAGCCTAAACACATTTGCTTGTATACTAACAATGATTCCAAAGAACTTTACCACAGAATTGCCTTGACTTTATCTGTGATAGCTTAATATCTTGTTACCTTCTTGATGACATTTTCCAATCCAACAAGAAAAGAGAGTTTTTCTTCCCATTCACAGTAGGTAATGTTACATTCCCTTTATCAAGTCTTATTTTTATTACATTCATTCCTTTATTGATTATGGTGTATTTCAATACTGGAACAATGACTTTTATCTAACAGTAGACTACATAATACTAGCCTGTACATTTATGAAAGCACATCTTAAATAACAGAAAGAAAAAACACTCATAAGTATTTGCAAAACACCCTTTAGTGTAATTTATTACTTACACAATCTCCATAATTCTTAAGCTTTGCTGACTATTATTTTATGTGACAGTAAAACTACACCAAAGAAAATGAAAAAAAAAATATAGAAAATACAAACACTTGGTATTGGGAAAGAAAAGGTGTACAGAAGGATACCGACATGGGTTTTGATTTCTTTTACATGCAACCGTCTGGTAATTTTGTCTAAAATAGTCTAGTAAAAATTATTTGATGGACAGAAGTTTTTGAAAAGAAATGTAGCTGTTGTAATAGTAATGCACAAGGTAAACAGTCAACAGTGTTTATGATCAGGTGCTAGTTTTTTGTCAGTCAATCTGAGAAATGTATAGATGTCAGAAAATAAATGTTGTTAAGGGTTTTATTTGAGTCTGCCATGGAAATCTTATCATTGCAACATTGCAAGACATCAACTAGAGCATGAAGGCATATTGATTAGGTTTTCTTTTTTATCTTTCTTTTCTTTCCCTTTGTTTTTCATAGAAAGTATCTCAGAGTGAATCTTACTAGACATTTTATATAAGATTTAGCAGATGAGCAAAGTTAGATATGGTATTACAATTTAAAACATCAAAACCAAGTGATGCGACTGGCCATGAGCTGATTCATGAGTAGGAAATTTTTTTCTTGAAGAAGTTTCAGTTTGGCGTGAAAATTACAGATAGGATTATCTTGAGATCAGTTGTGTTTGGTGCTAGTATGACATAGTGACTCACAGGTTGTGTGATGAATTGGTTATTTAAACATATCACTGCTTTTAGTATTGACTATATTGTTATATTCTCCTTATTTTCATTGTTGCTTCTTAAATGTGGCTGGGAAATTCCAGAAAGGATACCTGTAATATTAAAGCTTACCTGTGAAGGGGACGTACAGTATGTACCCTAAGATGTCCCACCGCAGCCCAGACAGCTATTTCACTGGGTTGCCTGGTGATGTGGTCACCTAGTGATATGGTTGCCTGGTGATGTGGTTGCCTGGTAATATGGTTGCCTGGTGTTGTGGTTGCCTGCTGATGGGCTTCAGACTCAAATCAGTATGGTTTAAAGACTGGTGATTTGGTTGATGGGTGATATGGTTGCCCAGTGATGTAGTTGACTGGTGTTGTTGTAGTTGCCAAGCAAGGGATGTTGTTTCCTGTTGACGCACTTTAGATTCAAACCAGTACAGTTTAAAGACTGTTGATGTGGTTGCCTAGTAATATGGTTGCCTGGCGATGTGGTTGCCTGGTGATGCACTTCAGACTCAGAGCAGTACAGTTTAAACGCTGGTAGTATGGTTGCCTGGTGATGCAGTTGACTGGTGATGCGGTTGACTGGTGATATGGTTGACAAATGATCTGGTTACCCAGTGATGTTTTCCTGGTGGTGTGCTTTAGGCTCAAACCATTACAGTTTAAAGGCTATTACCTGAAAACATCCTTTTACAAAGAAAAAAGTTTTTATGCAAAAGCCAAAGTGTTAGAAACCCACACAATCAGCAGGGGACACATATTTATGAGCATTCCTGTTTGTTCAGGTGTAAAAAATAGATAATTTTCAGGTTACATTTTTGCCCTGGCTCATGTTTATTTCCCTGAGCATAGGTTGGAAGGATATGAGCCAGAAAAAGATAATAACCAATTTAGAATGGTTGCAGGCCTTAGATCAAGTGTACTCTCATAAATAATATTTTGGAAAAGATTTTTAAATAGAAAATAGTTATTTTTATGCGAATATGTTACACTGTTTGTAACTTGCTAGTGAGAGGTTGGATCACTATCAGTAGAGATAAACAGGTAAACTGAGTGCATTATGGTCTTCACTTTGCCCCACAATTGAGATATGTACGGTACCTAATGTTGATGTACATGGAAAATAATTATTTAAATGAAATAAAATGTCAGAGGAAGAAGAAATAAAAAAGGCTAAGATTACAGTTGCTGTGTAAATAATGATAAAGGATTAAAATAACTTGTAGCAAAACTGGTTGAGTTTGCAATCTTTTATAAAAGTAGGAGGGAAATGAAAATATTATTATTATTATTATTATTATTATTATTATTTGATAGATTTAATATTTGATTACAATATATTTCAAGGAAAAAATTAAAGGGAAAAAAGTCAACATTTTTTTGGGGGGGGGAAAAATTCTAAACTTCATTTTCAGTTTACAAGTCAACTAACTCAAAGTGGTATACAAACATACAGAAATTATTATTATTTTTTTGTTTATTTTATGATATTGTGTTGTGTTCACATGAATAAATGGATTTATATTTGCATTTTTGATATCAAGCTCTTGCTATTGAGTTCTTGAATTGGATCTTCGGACATGATTAAACAAATTTGTTTGCAATTTTTTTTTTCTTATGGGACCACAAACCCCCAGTTGCCAGGCCATTTCTACACACTTTTCTCTTAGAACCCAAGAATATGTCTCATGTTTTAAAACTAGCCTCCAAATCCAAAGTCTGTGTGTTGAATCAGATACAAACAAGTTGAACATTTGGGAAACCTTATCCGTTTGGATCAGATTTTAAAAAACATAGTTGCCATAAATAGATAGATGAGGAGGATTTAAAATGTTACCTATGTGTATAACAAACTGTTCATTCCCAAAATATCCAGTGTGTGGAGCATGATATTCCTAATCAAAGACTATAGCTAAAGGTGGCAGCGAGTCATAGAGCCATTCAGTATCCTATCACTGCCGCCGGAGTGTCAAATGTGATCAAGTCAAAAATGGCCATCACACTAAGATATTCTATGTCTCTCTCCAAAATTAATCTTTCTTTAAGTATAATTAAGCTTGAGGTGGTAGACAGTTACTGTCAGGGGATGAAAAGAACAGATCAAAGCTACAGGAAGCAGACAAGAGAACAAGTCACTGGAACCCAACAGTGGAAATAGAAATGAATCTCAAATGAATCTGAGCTCAACAGAGTTTCTCTGATGATTAATTGTCTGTAAAGCACCCTGAGTGACAGACTTCAGTCACACAACACTGTAACACAAAGATTGATACATGTGGATGTGAAGTCATTGACAAGTTAATATTCCATAGAACATTCCTTAATTCTCAGATGCCTTAAGTTTATACTTGTAGTAATCAAATGTGGCCACCTACCTGACATCATCTCAAAATTTAAAAAAAAAGAGAAAATCATCTTAAATTTATGAAGTTTTTTTTTTTTTTTTTTTTGTAATATAAACACTGCGTAAATTTAATTTAATAATATGTAAAATTTCATTCTTTGAATGTCAGATTTTGATATACTAATAGTACAATTGCGTTGCTAAAGAACAAAACAATGTCTTGATTACATTCTCAAGCTCCTGGTGCTGTACAGGGATGTTAGTGTTAGTAGCACCTAGATCTGAAGCATTCAGGATATCCATCATGGCTTTGTAAATAGTACTTTCACACTCATTAATATTTAGTGCTGAGCTTGAGATTTTTTGCCAAGGTGTGGTTTATTTGAGAAAGATTAAAGGTGGTGTATTTATCAGTAAAACATTTTGTCTTTACGGCACTCACGGTTAGTACTCAAAGGTTTTTGTGTTTTCCTCTGGGCAATCAGTCAATGACATTATACTGTGTGCTGGTCTCTTAAGTCTTTGAAACATCAATTTATCTTCTAGCTTATGTAATGTCATTGAATAAACAGCCAACTGAATGAAATGAAAATACCTCTGAGAAGAATCATGCACAGATTGATATAGGATTACATTGATTTCATCATACATGTAGTTGTTTTTGAAGTCTCATCAGCAAGAAACATTTTCTATTCAACAACAAACCAAAAGCAACCCAATAATAACTAGATTAATGAAAACATGAAAAAAAGTGAAAACAAAATGGGCTTAATTCAAGAATTAGCCTAGGAAAACACTTTCAATTCATCCATCCAGTTTTGGTCAATTGTTCATCGACCTTTTTTTTTTGTCCATCCATCATTCATGCATTTTTTCATTCATCCTTCTATTCATCTGTCCATCTTTTCATTTATTCATTCATTCATTTGCACATACATCAGTCTATCCATACATCCATTAATATTGGTTTCATGTACACATTCTTTTTTATTTTAGTCTGGAAATTGCCCCACACAATGTGGACGTAAACGTTCATCCTACCAAGCATGAGGTTCATTTTCTCCATGAAGACGCCATCATAGAAAGCATACAGAAATGTGTCGAAACCAAACTGCTTGGCTCCAATGCATCAAGAACATACTTTGCCCAGGTAAATATTAGGGACCATTCCCACATTCCCACTAAATTGCTTTCAACTTGATGGCTTAAATGTCTGTCATGCCTAGTAAAGCTGTTAGGGGGTATCTTTACACCTTAGCTTATTCAGTAGGCGTGACAGACATTTAAGCTGGTTAATTGACAGCAGTTTTGTGAGACTCCCCAGGGAGTTAGATTGATCCAGCTGGTTCGATCTAGGCATGGGAACCCAGTCTTAGAGGTTTAGTTCGGAATTACTAGAAAATATTCTTTAAAAGGTTTTAGGTCCTTAAAGTGATTTTTAAAAAATTTTGCTAGAAGGTAATCTGACAAGTAAAAGACAAGTCAGTTTTTAATGTTAAAACTGAAGATATTACAGAGATGTATATGTTACAGTAGTACTATTTTTTGTTAAATAGTGCCACCACTTTGACTGGTGACCTAAAAATTGCTTAATTTCCGTTTCATTTTTTTTTTTTTAGGATAGTGTAAATCCAAAATGTCTTGTGATTTTGACAAGTTGATTTTAAAGAAGTAATTACCCTGTAAATTAAAAAAATATATTTTGTGATTTTGACAAATTGATTTTGAAAAAGTAATTACCTTGTACATTTAAAATATGTTGTGATTTTGACAAATTGATTTTAAAGGAGTAATTACCCTGTAAATCCAAAATGTTTTGTGATTAAAACAAATTGATTTTAAAGAAGTAATTACCTTGTAAATCCAAAATGTTTTGTGATTTAGGGGAATTGATTTTAAAGAAGTAATTACCATGTTGTAGGCACTGCTGCCAGGAGCCCCTGTTTCTGTTGGAGAAGTGATCTCTGAGAAGAAGAAAACAGAGGAGGACACAGGTACTTCACTCATTATACAAAGTGTCCAAAATATGTATTCACTCACTGACTGAATTTATTTATTGATGTTTAATTGACATAGATACAAGTGTTACAGAAATAAATTAAAGAAAATAGCATGTAACATATTATGAATTGTATGTAAATATATAAATGTTCTCATAAACAACAACAATGATAAAAATGATACAGTATTTATGAGCATAAAGGCCAGTCAAAGGGTGCTTTCCCAGAGATTTAGATCGATCTAAAGATTAATTTTTAGATCAACTTAACTCCCTGGGGGTTCACGCTAAATTGCAGTCAGCCAAGCGGGCACTGTAGTTAATTACCCCCTTACAGCTTTTAGTAGGCGGGACAGACGCTTAAGCCAGCCAAGCTGACAGTAATCTAGTGAGACTCCCCACAGGGGTAGATCGATCTAGAAATTTATGGAAATGGGGTGAAAGAGTGAGTGCCTTTTTGGAGGGAGGGGGAAGGGCACCCGTAATCATGCTTACTTTCCAACAATTTAGTAATCAATATGGTATTAATTTGAAAAAGTCTGTGAAAAGTGGTCATTGAATTGACAGAAAACTTATAGCCTCTTTGGTTGATTTTAACACTTATATATCAAAGTTGTATTATTAGTAGTCTACAAGTGCAGATAAAGGGGTTTTTTGAGCCTGCATTACAAAAATAAATGATAAAGTGCTTGGTTTTTTAGACCAATGATTTATATACATATTTTTAGTGATAGAACAATCACTTATTTGTCCTGAGACTTAGCCTAGCTTTTGACATGCACTTAGTGCCCAACTGATGAGAACAGGATTTGTTCTGCAATACTTAGATGAGCATTTTCAGTAGGCTTTGATCATAGAAAATTGTATTCTGTTAATGTAAAGCTCAGACTTGCAGTGCTCTTTAGCCCATGTAGCAGATAAAAAAACATCTCTGATTCAACATGATATTATATCGTTTTAATACCAGCATTTTTTGTTAACATGTTTGTCAAAATTGTATGGATTTTACCTGGGCCATTTCATCTGATAACAAAGTGGTAAAAGAGTTTCTACATTGTGTTAGACACATGATGTATGAGGCAACAGCGTGCCTACCTTTCCAGACACTTGATTGAAAAAAGTGGTATTAATTGCTTCTTTCAAGTCATTTGTTTATGACTTTAAGGGAAGAGGAAATTAGGAAAAGAATGGATTGATAAAGCAAAAAAAAAAAAAAAAAAAGAAGAAGGAAAAAAATCTAGGTGAATACCACAGTTAGATAATTTTGAGTAAATAAATGAATCAGTAAATGAAAAAACAAGTAAATAAATACAGTTTGACTATTAGATAAATAAAATATAAGCACATATTAAATGAGTATAAAAAAATCTAAGAGCACCTGTTGCCCTTGAACATGTTGACATTATATTTCTTAGATAACAATGCACATAGGTCAAGAGTTTTTTCCTGACTGACGAGTATCTGATAGATTGCCTGGTTCTAGGTATTAATTTCAGGAAATGGAAAAATGCAGAGAATAAATGGCTTCTCTGCACGTAAATCATTATTGAATTGCAATGGATCAAAGAAAAATCAAAACAGTAGTGCTTTATATTTTGCTGACATGACTAGAAATTTGTTTTAGGAGATTGTATGATAATCATTGCAGTCTTTTTGTTTGCTTTTATACTAGGTGTCTCTTTTTATTTTTATTTTTCAAAAGAAAATTTAAAACCAAAGGTTGATGTTAACTTCTTGATCAAATCCAGGAGTGGCCAATTTGGTATTTTAGGATTGATAAATTATTCATAGACGAGATATACCACGCTGGCATAGACATAGGCATAGATTACATGGTAGAGCCATTGGATACACTGAGAAAAGAAAAACCATAACAAAAAAAGGTTTTACGATCGCAGAACAGCTTGGTAATGAAATCTAAACTCATGATAATCAATCTACAAGGTTATGTAAATAGCAGCTTTCTGAGTGTCAACAGTTTCCATAGTCAGTCATAATATCGGAAAGTTCAGTTATCAGTATTGATCTTTCTGTAACCTTTATGTTATGAAAAAGAGTTATGTTACAGAATTATCTCCCCATTTTTGTAATAAATGAAAACAACATGGAATTTATTTTTTTCTTCGATTGTTTGCTGGCTTCTGAGGGTGATAAATAAGGAGAATAATGAATAATAAAAAATCTGAGGTATAATATTGTTTTCACACTGGTGTTTTCACACTGACTGAAAATGTGATGATTACATCTCATATGGTTTACAGATATTACTTGTAAACACTTGTGATCCTTTCACAAATGAAAAAATCACGAAATACTTGGAGAAGTGAAAATGGCATCTAAGCATGTTCAGACCCACTTGATATGTGCGTTATGGACATTATCTGCAGTTACCATTCTTGGCACATGTAATCTACCAGATGTCAACATGCTTCTGTGTCATTCATAAAAACAATTTTCAACTTCCAGTTAAGTCTTCTGCTATGTAATGGAGCCAAAGTGTGCCAGCAAACATGCCTCAGACTTTTGTCATATCAGACACACACATGTAATATAAATAATTATATAAAACAGTTTTTGTATCAAAAGAGAAAAGAGAGAAAATGTGGGAAGAGAAGAGGGTGAAAAAACAAAGCTTGCATAAACAGCATGGTAGAAAAGAGTTATTATGTCAAAAAAAGGTGCTTATTACAATTTTTATTGTTTTTACTATTAAAAAATACATTACAGGGGCACCCAAAGTTTATGCACACCAAATGGTTCGCACAGACAGCAGAGAGAGGAAACTGGATGCTTTCTTTCAAAAAACAGGAAGCAATGGTCAGGTTGCCAGAAGAGATAACTCGGCAGGTGATGTGGGGGTGACTAAGGCAACAGATGCTCCATCAAGGTGATTTGTACAGTTGAATATATCATTTCATATTGAATAAATAAAACATCAGTTCATGTTTGTTTATTATCCTGTCAGTGAGTGATTCTATTTTTAATGTACCTGGTAAAGACACTGCAGTTTTGTGGGGTTTTTTCTTACTTAAGAATAATTTATGTATGGTGCCATTTGCTGTATAGTACATGCAACCTTTGAGGTCTTGTATGTTAATTTCCAATATGTTTTAATATGTCAAAAAAAAAAACAGTGCTTATGTTTTCTTTGTTTTGCAGTTTAAAAATTAAATGTACAATCTTTGACAGAGTTCAAGATATTTAGTTTTTATTGCAGAAAAAGGGTGCTAGAAGAAGAAGAAGAAGGAGACGATGTGGAGACAGAACCACCAGAGGGCAGTGCTGTCACTGAGACAACCCAAAGAAGGGAAATCAAACTGACCAGTGTCCTAGCACTGAGAAAAGATATCAAAGACAATGTCCACTCAGGTAAGTTTTGAACTAAAGTGTCCACTTAATATTGACAGCTAACTAAAAAATTAAACTAAATAAAAATGGATGTTTTTATTATGAAAGAAAAACATAAATTCCTAGATAATACTCTTTGCAAAAACCTCCTCTCTTGTTAATGAGAGGAGAACTTCTAGTCGTTGTGGTAGTTGTACTACGTATTTGCAGTGCATGATGCTTGACCCTAACTTATTGTGGTAGTTGAGAGATGACACAACTCTCACATTTACCGACTACAGTTGCTATCAGGTAGTCTTCCCACAATTTGTTACAGGTTCTGCAGTAGTTATTTCATGGTCATCAGACAGAGTTTCCAAGGCAGCAGGAGTCAGCAGCACCAAAACTTTGCTCTTTTTGGGCACGTTAACTGGATAAACAACACTATACAACTAGCTACTATCCTGCTATAGTTATAAATGCACATTAAAATTGATAAAAAAGTGCACTATCAGCACATTACTTTTTTATTACAGATGTGCATGGCTTTCAGCTTCAAAATGTGAATTTGAAAGATTAATTTCAGTTTTCCATTAACTCTTGATCAGCACTCACAAACTTTGAATAATGCTATCCAATAGGACGGAGTATGAGAAGTACAAAACCTTATCCCAGTCCCTGTTTATTGTCCAATCTTCATAATAGATTTGTCATTTTCACTTGGCTGGCATAGAGACCAGCATATCCAAGAAACAGAGAATGTAAAAATAAATGTTTTCCACCAGTAAAATGTTTTCAGATTTAGTAATTTGAGTTTAAAACAATGCTGTTTTGTGGCATTTGAAATTTATACTTCACAATTTGGCTGTAGGCACAGGCCCTAGGTTAGAAAATAGACATAATATCTGGTAAAAAACAGCTTTTATTGTTTTCCATGTCTTTCTTTCTTCAAGGTCTCCAAGAACTGGTTCAGCATCACACATTTGTTGGGTGTGTCAACGAGGAACGGGCATTGTTACAACATCAGACAAAACTGTACCTGGTTAACACCACAACATTAAGGTAATTTTGTGTCATTAGTACCACCAGCGTGTACGCTGGCGGTACTCATGGTTTTAGTCCCGACCCTTCTAGTCCGGCTCCGCCGGCTCCTGCGGCTCCGCCGGCTCCGTTGGCTCCGCCGGCTCCGTTTCTGGCGCCGGATACAAGTCACCGTTACCGCTTCTCCTCCTAGACCGTNTGGGCATTATTTGCAGTTACCATTCTTGGCACATGTAATCTACCAGATGTCAACATGCTTCTGTGTCATTCATAAAAACAATTTTCAACTTCCAGTTAGGTCTTCTGCTATGTAATGGAGCCAAAGTGTACTAGCAAACATGCCTTGGAGACTTCTGTCATATTAGACACACACAAAAAATAAAAATAATAATTCAAAACAGTTTGTGTTTAGAATTTGTATCAAAAGAGAAAAGAGAGAGTGAGAGAGAATGTGGGGAGAGAAGAGGGTGAGAAAACAAAGCTTGTGTAAACAGCATGGTAGAAAATAGGTATTATTTCGAAAAAGGTAATATTACAATTTTTATTGTTTTTACTATTAAAAATTACATTTCAGGGGCACCCAAAGTTTATGCACACCAAATGGTCCGCACAGACAGCAGAGAGAGGAAACTGGATGCTTTCTTTCAAAAAACAGGAAGCAATGGTCAGGTTGCCAGAAGAGATAACTCGGCAGGTGATGTGGGGGTGACTAAGGCAACAGATGCTCCATCAAGGTGATTTGTACAGTTGAATATATCATTTCATATTGAATTAATAAAACATCAGTTCATGTTTGTTTATTATCCTGTCAGTGAGTGATTCTATTTTTAATGTACCTGGTAAAGACACTGCAGTTTTATGGGGTTTTTTCTTACCTAAGAATAATTTATGTATGGTGCCATTTGCTGTATAGTACATGCAACCTTTAAGGTCTTGTATGTTAATTTCTAATACAATGTATGTTTTAATATGTCAAAAAAAAAAAAAAAAACGGTCTGCTTATGTTTTCTTTGTTTTGCAGTTTAAAAATTAAATGTACAATCTTTGACAGAGTTCAAGATATTTAGTTTTTATTGCAGAAAAAGGGTGCTAGAAGAAGAAGAAGAGGACGATGTGGAGACAGAACCACCAGAGGGCAGTGCTGTAACTGAGACAACCCAAAGAAGGGAAATCAAACTGACCAGTGTCCTAGCACTGAGAAAAGATATCAAAGACAATGTCCACTCAGGTAAGTTTTGAACTAAAGTGTCCACTTAATATTGACAGCTAACTAAAAAATTAAACTAAATAAAAATGGATGTTTTTATTATGAAAGATAAACATAAATTCCTAGATAATACTCTTTGCAAAAACCTCCTCTCTTGTAAATGAGAGGAGAACTTCTAGTCGTTGTGGTAGTTGTACTAGTATTTGCAGTGCATGATGCCTGACCCTAACTTATTGTGGTAGTTGAGAGATGACACAACTCTCACATTTACCGACTACAGTTGCTATCAGGTAGTCTTCCCACAATTTGTTACAGGTTCTGCAGTACATGTAGTTATTTCATGGTCATCAGACAGAGTTTCCAAGGCAGCAGGAGTCAGCAGCACCAAAACTTTGCTCTTTTTGGGCACCTTAACTGGATAAACAACACTGTACAACTAGCTACTATCCAGCTATAGTTATAAATGCACATTAAAATTGATAAAAAAGTGCACTATCAGCACATTACTTTTTTATTACAGATGTGCATGGCTTTCAGCTTCAGAATGTGAATTTGAAAGATTAATTTCAGTTTTCCATTAACTCTGATCAGCACTCACAAACTTTGAATAATGCTATTCAATAGGACAGAGAGGAGTCCAAAACCTTATCCCAGTCCCTGTTTATTGTCCAATCTTCTTAATAGATTTGTCATTTTCACTTGGGTGGCATAGAGACCAGCATATCCAAGAAACAAAGAATGTAAAAATAAATGTTTTCCACCAGTAAAATGTTTTCAGATTTAGTAATTTGAGTTTAAAACAATGCTGTTTTGTGGCATTTGAAATTTATACTTCACAATTTGGCTGTAGGCACAGGCCCTAGGTTAGAAAATAGACATAATATCTGGTAAAAAACAGCTTTTATTGTTTTCCATGTCTTTCTTTCTTCAAGGTCTCCAAGAACTGGTTCAGCATCACACATTTGTTGGGTGTGTCAACGAGGAACGGGCATTGTTACAACATCAGACAAAACTGTACCTGGTTAACACCACAACATTAAGGTAATTTTGTGTCATTAGTACCACCAGCGTGTGGATACAAGTCACCGTTACCGCTTCTCCTCCTAGACCGCAAGGACCCCTGTCTCCATCTCTTGGATTTAGGTCACATATAACCTCAACTTGAACCCCCAAGTTTTTTTGTCTCAGTCGGTGCATTGACCTGGGCGTGACACTCGTTGAATTGCACCCTTGTCAAAATTTTTGAAAATTCAATGCCAATTATCTACCCTACGGAAGGAATTATGGGAAAAATTTCTACAGACGACTGACCAAAAGTCATATGTGGAGATTTCAAATATGCCCTTGGATTTGACCTTTGACCTTTGTTTCAAGGTCAAACGGGCCAAAATTTTCAAAAAAACGAATTTTTTTACGAAAAAAAAATTATTTTTGCTGTTATTCAGACACTACACAGACTTAACCAATATTATTATTGGAAAGTGTTCCCCTTTGGGTCATCTTTCATCTCCGTGAATTCGGGGTCAATCAGTGCATTTTCACGGGAGTAGCGACCATAAGATACCGAAACTGAAAACTCTCTATAATTCGGGAACCATTAATGCTAGAGACCCGTTCTTTTTTGCATTTTGTAGAGCATGTAAAGCCTAACACTGCAGATGGTCTCCGTTTTTTCGTATTCCATACAGTTTTCGAGTTATGCTGTACATTGTGGTTGTGAAAATTATAACATTTAGTCCCTTAGATCTCCAAAACTGGCAGAGATAGGTCTATAGTTACTATTAAAGTTGAATAGGAAGTCACATACTGGCAATTTAAATGTGACCTTGAAATTGACCTTTGACCTACTTTTCACCATGAATTGAACTTTGCAAATTTTGGTTCCTTTTTATCTCCAAAACTGGCAGAGATAGGTCCATAGTTACTATTGAACTTG